ATCAAAAGAAAGCAGTGTAAACTTCATTTCCTCTTGCTGCAGAATTGAAGAGCAGCTATTGCCGGCCCTGGGGTTACATTTTACTTTTGGTTTGGATCAGATGTTTATTTTGGAAACAAAATCATGTAAATCATGTGTGACAGCACTCTTGCAGTATTTTTCCTTTGTTTATTTTAAAGGATGTGCTATAAAAGTTAAAGGTTGAGCCAGCAAATACACAGTGTTAACACCGTGTGAATTCTGAGCACTACAAGTGGAATTTCCAGCGATTTAGTGAAACTTTATACTTGGACATGTGTACAGTAACACTTTTAACACTAGTGCTAACACATTTAAGGTATGCTTCCTGGTTTTCAAATACTCTGAAAAACCTAAAGGCATATTATTTTCCTAATGGACTGCTTATCACCCAACAGATCCAATTATTACTGTATTTTCCAAGTGTTTCATTAAAATCCATACAGGTGCTCATGAGCCAAATTAACGTCACACAGATAAATAAATAACCACAGATGAACCAAAACATTATCGCCTTCACCCTGATGATAAAGATGACATTGGTGATAATGATAATAATAATTGATAATGCATTGATGTAGGATTTTACCCAGTTCAAAACAGCATTGGCACAGACTTTTTATTCTGTCTTTTAGTGGAAAATAGATGTGACAAAACAACAACAACAAAAACCAGTTGAATAATAAATAAACATGCTTCTCACCTGTGATCAAATTTTCTCATCTTTCTGAGAGGTATGAGATGAAAATGGTTTTACTGATGGGTCTATGAAGACACCAACTGGACACATGAAGCAGTCTGCACCGTGTAACTCTTGAAGGCCTCAATTTGTAACTTGCCTTTGAAGTATTTTTGACAGAATTCACGATGAGCTTTAAAAAAAGGAAGACATTATGATCATAAGAGAGAATTAAGTGAAAGTGATGCATGTTGCTGTCACACGTAGTGAAAGTATACGGTGTGTTTGAAGCTGTTGAAGGATGATGTCACCATGTGTTTGAACTGTTTAGCACAACAGTTTATTTTTTAGCAACGTTACCTTAACACTGGCTTTCAGATCATCCAGCTCAAGGAACATCTTTTGAAACACTTCATACACATTTTTCAGTTGTTTTGGGAAGCTGAGGTTGAATGTGTATATCAGCTCCATGAGCAAGGCACAGGCTCTGGGAATATCTACATATGTTAGGACCTCTGTTCTCTCCAGGACAATCTTTGCACGTGCTGGATCAGAGTGATAATCTTCATCAGCTTCCTGTCACCATCCTGGTTGGTCAGAATTAATGTAAATATTTAAAGGGTTTGTAGTGGGCTGGAAAATGCCACATATAGTTATTTTATGTAAATACCCTCTCGTATCTATAGAGTTGAAAGTTTTTGGTCTCAATGTGTTGTTGCCATTTTTAAGTTCCTGACGTTCACCATGATCAGCAGGCAAACATCTTTGTCTCTGTGAAGTATAGTAGTTTCTGATTTACCTCCTCTTTGAAGAGTTCCTCCTCCTTTTCCCTAAGATACATCACATTAGGCCACAGATGGTGACCTCCCTTCTCGTCTCCACAGAATTGTCCTGTGAAAGAGAAAAACAATGTTGAACTGCTCCTCCATGAATTTGTTCTTGATAATTATCAATTATACACACAGATGTTGGTTCTCTAACTATCTCTCAGATCGGAGGCAATGTGTTCAACATAATGGTACTTCTTCCAGTTATTTAACGGTTAACAATGGCGTACCACAAGGCTCAGTCTTAGGACGCACCCTCTTTACAATCAACATAAGAAATGTAGAGCATCCCTGATGCATCCTTACATTTCTGTGCTGATTACACAGTTGTTTATTGCTAAGCTAAAACAATTGCTAAGGTTTTCCAGCTTTTGCAATCTGCATTTGACACCATCCAGTCAGAATTGTTCCGTCTCAAACTTGTCCTAAAAGCCAACAAAACCAAAGGGATGTTGTTTTCAAACAGGAAGTCAGTCCCAGCAGTTCTTCCTTTGATTTTTATCCTCGAATGGTGCCCCTGCGATCCCTACAAATATTTGAGTATCTTGGTCGATTTGCATCGCTCTTTTAAGCTTCACATGGAAAACTTGGTGAAGAAACTGAAAGTTAAACTGGGTTTCTTTTTCAGAAACAGATCCTGTCTAGGGCAGCATGGTGGCACAACTGGTAGAGCTGCTGCCTCTCAGCGAGCAGGTCCTTGGTTCAAACCCCGGTCCAGGGGCCTTTCTGGGTGGAGTTTGCATGTTCTCTCCGTGCATGCGTGGGTTTTCTCCGGGTGCTCCGGTTTCCTCCCACAGACCAAAAACATGCATGTTAGGCTGATTGGTAACTCTAAATTGTCCCTAGGTGTGAGTGAGAGAGTGAATGGTTGTTTGTCTAGTTAGTCTCTATGTGGCCCTGTGATGGACTTGCGACCCGTCCAGGGTGTACCCCGCCCCTCGCACAGTGATTGCTGGACATGGTCACCAGCGACCCCCGTGACCCAAAATGGAATAAGCGGGTAAAGATAATGGATGGATGGAGATCCTGTCTAACTCTGAATGTAAGGAAATGCTGTAACTGCAACTTTCCTCCCCTACATTGACTACAGCGACATTATTTACATGAACGCTCCTACAAGCACCCTGCAGATGTTGGACACTGTCTATCACGGTGTGCTAAGATTAATAACTGGCTGTAACTACCGTACCCACCACTGCACCCTGTATTTACTGGTTAACTGGACATCTTTAACTTCACGTTGACTCTCCCACTGGTACATTTTCATCTTTAAATCACTTCTTGGTCTGTTGCCTTCATACATCTCCTCCTACATGTCTCTGCGTGAGTGCAGCTACAGCGTGCGCTCTCAGGACATTATTACCTGCAGTGTTCCCTCAGTGAGGACTGAACTAGACAAAAGGGCCTTCTCCTACTCCACTCCTGCTTCTTGGAATATCTTGCAAAAAGATCTGAAGCTCTCAACCTTGACCTCTCTAAGTGGCTTCAAACATCTGCTAAGTTCCCGGCAAAAACCAATGCAGACATATTCCTGATTTTGAAGTTTTCTACATCGCTTTACAACCTAGATGTTTTTGTTTTATTTTTTCAAGACCATTTTCTTTCATTTGTTCTCAATTTGTATCCTTTTCATGATTGTCTACCGTTGTCATCATTATTTGATAAAATCAGATCTTTCTTATAAATGAGTCCACAAGGCTCAATGAGACTAATTTGTATAAATAAAGGTTGAATGAATCCATCCATCTATTATCTTTACCCACTTCCTCCTTTTCAGGTCGCAGGGCACATCAATTTTTTAGTTTTACTTTGTATTTTTTTTTCCCATTTTATTATTATCTGATGTAGCATTTCACTGTAACAAATTAAGAGTTGAAAACACCTTTTACTAGACCAACTTATTAAATTATCAACTCATCATGTGCTTATGTAACAAACGTTATTTTTATGCTGAAAAAGCTTTTGCTTTTGAGCTATACCTACTAACTCCATGAATCATTTCTTTAGAGTGTATGAGTGTAAGGTATGTGTGCATGCAGTTACTAAAGAAGATCATAAATACTGAGACAAGAGTTGTGAAATCACACGTGCACCTGCGTCTTCACCGCGACTTTGATGGACACCGCGTCTTCTGCTGCTCTGATCTCAGGAAGCTTCAGAGGAGCTGTGTTTATGAAATGTTGATCACAGAGGCTTTAAATAGACCTCAACATCTGTCGGCACTAACACAGACACAGAACGGTGCATGAGTAATGACGCGAGCTGAGCAACCACGTTTTTCAAAGTGTGGGAGCAAACTTGTGTTTCACTCACTGCATTCTTGATTTTAACAGAAACATCACTCCTGGCACTCAGACAAATGTTAACTTTAAGTTGATCAAGTTTCATTTTATTTCAAGTTAAAAACTAAAACATTCATAGGATAAATAAATGCAAAAGCTTTAACTCAACCTGTAAGCCACTAATTAGAAATAAATGGAAATGTGATGTAAAGTCAGTTCTTTAAAGTGTTGAAAACTTCTTTCTGATTGAAACAGAATCAAATAAACTGATCATCTATGGCAGGTTTTCAGCTATCAGCTCTTGGAGAACCATCTTCTTGGTGCTCCAATGTTATGTTTAGCGTCCTAATGAGCTTTTATTGCTACTTTTCATGAATTCAAATAAAAAAATGAGAACAAATTATGTTTTTGAAACACGCTGTTACGAACAAATCCAGGGAAAAACTTGAAAAGCGCTTCATAAAGACTGTGAGGAGGTCTGGCTCCTTGGGAGAAAAATATCATGAAACTAAGAGTTATATGAAATATCCATAATAAACACATACAAAACAGACAAGCAAGTATTTTAAAAAAAAAACTTTATTATATTGAGCTTTTTTATGTGCAACAACTACATTTTTCGTATAAAAATAAAATTAAATAAACAGAATATATTTACAGGGCTCTTACAACTGAGCTGATAACAAAGTTTAAAGTGATATATGTAATATTGTCAGCGAGCTTTTCAAAGTTTATCCAGTTACATAACAGGAAGAGCCTCCTGTGTAACATAATAAACCTGAGAAGGAGAACATCTTGGGGCGAACATCAGAGCTTCGAGGTGTGGGACGGCTCCTGTGTTTGGGCGTTCTGATGAACTTTCTGTGCTTTATATCTGCAATGGGAACAGATGGAGAATGTGTTACTTCTTTTTGAAACATTAGAGCCTTAGTTCTTTATTTCATACGCCTGAAGAATCTCACCTTATGCGGTTGATGCAGGTCATCACCCACTCCAGAGCAGGGTCGGTGCAGGCTTTCTGTCCGCTCTTCAGGTGGAAACTACATGTTAAGAAAAGACGACGGGTTAATAAAAAATAATTAACGTATTGGTATAAATTTCAAGTTTTAAGAGACACATGGGATGATCATAATATTTTAGATGCTTACATGATGGCGCTGATTGGGCACATCTCTGTAGAAGTCTGCACAGAGTAGCCCTTGATGTTCTGACATCGTAATTTGCCCTTCATGTATGTTCGACAGCATCCGGGATGAGCTGAGGGGGAAAAGACAAAATAAAATCTAATTCGAGGTAAAATACAGAGTGATGCTGTTTCTGTTAAAGGCAGTGGAATGAAATGTGGAAGTGTAAAGTAAAACACGTACCTGCAGACGTTTGCGAGGCCAGCACACAAAGAGTAAGCAGCGTTATCGCCGTCACCGTGACTCTGGTGGACACCATCTTTATCTGAGCTGCTGCTGCTCTGGTCTGAGCTGTGGCCTGGTTTGCTTTCAGAGGAGCTGTGGCTTCAGACGGCTCATCGTGAAACCTTATATACCTGAGAGAAGCTGAAAAAACAGAAGAGCTCTGCCCACGGATTATGGTGCCGATCATCAGTAAAGCCCCAGCATTTTCCCCAAACAAAGATAAATGAGGAAGGTGAGGACAAAAAAAATGCCTAAAATGCCTACGCACATAAAAATTCACACAGCGTAGTTTGAATCGTATCTGTGAATTCCTTGTGCTGATTTGCTTTGTTTACTGATGCAATCAGTGTGAAAACCCCCAGATATGAACAGGTTTCTACACTTTGCACAGGTAATGTCGTTAGATTGGATCATAAATATCACTGATTAAATGTTTATCTCAACAGTCATCGACATCATATAAAGAGATTTCATTTATTTGCTTATTGTGTGGCTCCTTTTAGGAAAAAGGAGTTTTCAGGTCATTAATGAAAAATGTTTCAACCTGAGTGCTGTTCATTCAGCAAAACTTGGAAAATCATTACAGTCTGATTCTTTTTTGTTCTTGTAAATATTCAGAAAAGGTTTATTTTGTTTAAATTATTTATTTTTTTTGTCCAAAGAATAATCCGAAATTAACTTAATAAAAATTTAAAATCCTAAAAAAATTGAAGTTTGAAAGAAAATCCCCACATGCAAGAGGATTAAAAACAAAAAATCTATGTGCTCTCTCAGTATAAATGACTTAAATAACTTTTTATCTCTGCTCTGCTTATGTTTCTAATTAATTTTTAACTTAAAAAAAAGTTACACTTGACAAGTTCACATGGTTAATAATTAAAGCTCAGAGATCAAAATGGAAAAACTGTATATTCTTTCCAATAAAATGCAATGGAACGATATGACGATGATGTGAAACGCAAATAGGAGGCCCTAAACCACAATTTAGGTTTTGAAGCTGATTTGGCTTTTCATATTTGAGCATTTAAAATATTCAAAGAGGCCTAAACATTGATTATAAGCAAATGTTTAATGCAAATAAGGTTCAAGAGGTGCACACTTCTAAAACAAGACAGTCAGAGCTGAGTGGAAACACGTAATAAAAGTGAAAAAGTGACTCTGAGGACCTCCGTGCTTCGGTGTGATGTGGGTCGCTCAGTGGGCTGCTCTGAGATTCCACAGAGGTTGATTTCTAGGTCAGAGGAACACTTAAACAGGTATCCAAGACCCATGCACCAAAAGAAAAGTGCATTTAGAGCACTGAAATAGGTCACAATACAGAAAAAACTTGTATCATCAATTTTTCCACTAAAACCACAGCACACACCAGTTACATCCTGCCACATGCCTTCACAGCACATTTCAGGGTCCCAACATCATCACACATGTCTGGTTGATTGGCCTAAAGTGCATTTTCTAATATTCTTATAAGTTTATGTAGATTTAGACTTTTTAAATGCAGCAGTCGTATTACAAAAGCAAATGTCTGCATGCAGTTGAGAACAGATGTTTACGTACACCGTATAAAACACAAAACCATTTTTATTGTTGTCTGACATTAAATGAGACTAAAACTTCCCTGTTTTAGGGCTAGTTAGAATTCCCCCAAATATTTCTATTTGCTAAATGTTCAAATAATTAAAGCGATCACTTATTTAAGATTTTTTTTATTTCTTCAAAGTTGTAAATTTACTTGCATATAATTGTCTGAACAGATGAACCTGGCACCTTCAGACATCTGGAAACTGTATCCAAGGATTGGACGTCTACAATTCTCTTCCTGATATCTTGGCTGATTTCTCTTACTTTTCCCACGATGTGGCACAAAGAAGCAGAGTGTTTGAGGTGTGCCTTGAAATATGTTCACAGGTGTGCCTCCATATAATGTTGTCAGCTAGACTGTCAAAAGCTTCTAAAGCCATGCAACATCATTTGGACTTTCCCAAGTTGCTTGCACAGTAATTCGATTGCACGCAAGCTTCTGACTTTATAAAAGTAAATAAAATTCTCTCACTCGTTATTCTGGCATTTAACAAATAGACATAATTGTATGAATCATAGCTGATTGAAACAGGAAAGGTTTAGTCTGATTTCATGTCAGAGAGTGAGAAACAAATGATTATGTGTCTTTTTACACAGCTTATGTAAACCTCAAGTTTGAGCTGGAGCTGCTGGACACTGGAACTGTACATCCAGCTCAAATTAGGCAAAATTATGTTTCTGTTACTCTTTTTGCCATCTTATTTGTAAAAAAAATAAAATAAAAAATAAAAATCTGCATGCCTTTTTATAACTGTCTATTGTTGTCGCTGTTGTCCATTGTTGTCAGCTTTCTTTGTTGAAATCAGGTCTCTCTTGTAAATGAGTCCTCGAGGCTCAATGGGATTTACCTGTCTAAATAAAGGTTGAACGAAAAAAAGTAACTTCTGTCCAGAATGACTAATATGGAAAGTGATCACAATTAAAATACACAGTTTTTTTTATGCTTGAGTCACTAAAAACTTAATTTGTGAACAGATTTTTCAGTGTGTCTAACAGAGCCAAAGGAAAAGTCAAGAGGAGGAACTGAACTCTTTAAAGACGTAACATTTATACATGTATATGTATGCTTAGATAGGTTAATCATGAATGTAGTACTCCCTACCACCTTGTGCATGTAAATATTGTCTTTTTCCAAATTTGTGTATTTTGCTTCTCTTTTGATTATTTCATATACGTTCTTTTTTTCCGTATAATTAGAACATACAAAACTACTGGATGCCTCAAATTCACCCGAAATCAATAAAGTACCTACCAACCTATATTTGTCTTAGGATCAATATTTCATGAAAATTGAGTTCTCAAAACTTTAGATTGTCTTGTTGAGATCAATATCAGTGAAAACTTCAAGACTTCCTCCTACAGATAGAGATCTACAGTGTACCTTGTACTGTTTTATTTAAAGAGCTGACATTGCGATGTGTCATTCTGACAAATGGGCCACTGGTAGCAGTTAAGTAAACAAACAATCTATTGCTTTCTTTCTGGGTTTTACCATAAGCCCTATTAGCGTGAGACAGATTGCAGTATGTGAAAGCCATGA